CAAATGTACACAAAACACTGTTGGCGGAGTACAATAAGAAAATCATTACATTTTCTTTTCCAATGATCCTACCACCAAACCCTATGGCCTGTCATTTTTAGCACACTTTTTCTATGTCCTAAAACTAAAGAAAACAATTTTTGTTTCTCTTATTTTGGTTTGAGCAAAATCAATGAGATGATGCAATCATATTTCATCACTTTGGCTGGTTTAATCTTTTTCTGGATTTACATTTTTTGTTTTTGCTAAAGATGAATAGTTTTTCAGAAAAAAACCCCATTTGAGTAGAGCTTTTCTGAAAAACAAGGAAACAACTGTCAGACCATTGAAACAAAACACATTTAAGGCTCGAAGTGTGGCAGAAATACATATGACAATGCATGTGAAATATGATTAGAGTTACCTGCCCTTTTCAGTTTGAGAAAATGAACACCAGAAACTCATTCATGAGGTAAAATTCTTCAATTGTTTGATCCTACATGTAAATTTGTCTCTCTATCTGTATACTAAACAGTTAAATTCCTAAGTTAAATAAATAATGATTGAGTATTCACATAAAACCATCAACTAATGAAGGGAATACATGAATAGTAGCAATACACAGAGCCAAAAGCTTTTACCTATGTAGTTTGCTATGGGTTATGTCCTTCTCGACCCGATTGTGTCCAATAGAGGACCGAGACTGGATTTTACAAAAGGATCGAAAAACTTTTTAATGGAGTCAGTACAACCTGAGAATGGCTGACCATACATTGAGGTATTTCACTGGATGGATTGTCGTTCCCCTGTGATAAGGTACGAAGTCAACCAAATTATTTTGCCTGACCTGTAATAGATTATGCAAAAACAGAAATATCACATCAGAAGCACAACAATAGTATATTTGGTTTTCCTGCTTACCGTTTCACTGTAGAACTTCTTGCCACTTTTAATTTTAAAATCCCCACACCATCCCCCAAACTATTTCACCATTAATGCTACCTGTTTATGACTCCGCATTTGAGTAACGAGCTTCAGAAAATACAAAAATCTGACAGAAAAAAGAAGAAGACAATATTCAGCAATACATGTACAAACAGCTTAATGTACATCAGATAACCACATTTAAAGGAAACCAGTGAGTGATACCTAATGGTTGGCAGACTTCAAGTATCATGTGACTAACTACAGTCGAGCACCGTTGTCTCGATATTCATGGGACCAAGAAAAAGTATCGAGTTATCCAAACTTCGAGACATCTGACCAGGACATATCATTTAGAAAGAACTCAACAATCACAGGCTAGTCTTGTGATTACACAAAACTCTCATTGAATTCTCAGTATGTTTTGATTCGAAACTATAATCTGTTATCAGTAGTGTTTAGTCGTAACATTGAGTACTTCCTAATTAATTCCTTCTTAATTAATCCTAATTAAATAACAAATAAGTGACACCTTCAACTCAGTTAGCCCTAATTAGTTAACACTACCGCATCCCTTTGATTCATGCCGCACCGTGTGTAAACGTGTGGAAACAACCTCAGTTCAGGGGGATACTTGCCCATGAAAGGTAGGTGAATATTGAGTTTCTTTGCAAATATCGAGTTAAAAAGGCAATTTTGCTCATTGAGACCATGAAATTATATCGAGATACCGAAATATCGAGGCATCCATATCGAGTTAAAAGAGCTTAAATAATGATAAATTATGAAGGATTTTGCCGGGACCGAGATGTTATGTTGAGACAACCGAGATATCGAGTTATCAGAGTTTGACACAACGGTGCTTGACTGTACTTCAAATTAAAATTTCCATCCTGAATACAGTGCCAGTGTTATAACTAGTTAAAACAAATTGATATATTAAAACAGTGGCATTATAATAGTAATTAAGGCGAGTGGGCGGGGCGGGGCAGGGGCAGGGCAGGGCAGGGCAGGGCAGGGCAGGGGGCAGGGCAGGGCAGGGCAGGGCGGCCTGGCAGTGAGCAATCTGGATATACATACAACCATACACACTCAGACTCACACGAGAGGTAACCTGGGACAGGGACACTTTGGTTTAATACTTCATGTCATACTGTATGTACAACTGTTGTGGTTGGATTAACTTCAACTTTGTTTTTTTCTCTGAGTTTGTTTTAATGTAAGACTCCGATCCATGGCAGGACTTCTAGCCATGTTGGATTTTCAGATCAGTGCCATTTTCTGGTTTGTGGCTTGTACACCAACATACCAACTAATGCTGGTTCGTTGGTTTGTGGTATAACGTTGGTTGGTTTGTGGTATAACGTCACACTCCGCAATATTCCAGCTATATGGCGGCAGTCTGTAAATCATCGAGTCCTGACCAGAAAATCCAGTGATCAACAGTATGAGCATCGATCAATACATGATCTACTGTGACATGTTTTGACCAAGTCAGCTAGCCTGACCACCCGATCCGGTTAGTCGCCTCTTACCACAAGCATGGGTTACTGAAGATTAATTCTAACCCAGATCTTCATGGGTCTATCGAACAATGAAGAAGTCTGTGAATAAATAGCCCCATCTTTAAACTGAACCCACATTTGTCAACATGTTCAAAGAATATATAAATTAAAGTTAATATTTTAAAGGGGAAAACAGACCAGACAAATTTAAACAAGCAGCCTATATTTATGCCATCACATCCTTCATGGAATGAGGTAATGTGTCAATTGACATTGTTGCAAGTAAAGTGTCAAGTATGGTTGGGAGTGTACAAGAAAGCCTAAGATTAATTACTCATGGACACGGTGCCAACCACAGAACAAGTCCATTGAATATGTGGTTAAATACAGTATCCTCAAGCACTGCAAGCACATATTTGGAAAGAAATAACCCAATGGCCATTTTACTGAATATAATAGGTTCATGTCTTAAATTCTTGTATAGTCTTTATCCATAATTACAAATAACATTCAACCTTGCTCATGTTAGTATGAAATTAATTGGCATCAAATATTATTATCTGGCCTTAAACTAAGCTTGAACACAATGTAAATTAACATTTCAAAGTTAATATTCCAAAAGTAAGGGACCGTTCATAATTTATGGCTAGCGTGGGTGGGGTTGATAATTTTAAGGGGGGTCACCCATTTTGTTCTGGGCAGTTAGGGGGGTCATCAATTTTGTACACATGTACTAGGGGGTCATAAATTTTGTACATAAAAATGTTTAAAATTATGCTTAGAAATTATGGGGTCATTGATTTTGTACATGACGTGGAGGGGGGGGGTCACTTATTTTGTACATAAATTTTAGGGGTGGTCATTCATATTGTACATGCTTCTCCATAAAAATAATCATCACCCACCCCCCAGCCATAAGTAATGAACGGTCCCTAAGTGGAAACTGGCCCTTTACAACTGAACACTCTTATAACATATACAATAGGGGAAGCAAGACAAGTACCATTAAACAATTGCCACTGGACAATATCCACCAAGACAATTCCCATCAAGGACAATTACGACCTATCAAACATCCATAGCTGTTTTTGTGACCTTTTAAGAAGAATTACATCAGTATTTACCAAGTATTTACAGAATCATTTCACAGAAAACACAGGCTATATTTTACAACATTATCACATCAGCAAAATTTACATACTGCAAACATTATCATCATACTAAACCGAGGTATTCACATTACTGTTTGTTAATATCAAAATATAACGCCAGCTATACAAACAAGGCTCGGTTGTTGTATACTCAACAAACAAAGTTAAGGACCATCCCACTATTCATATTTAAGTATTATAGGGATCATAAGATGAACTATCAAATACTTTGATATTGAAAATCGGGGTGGTCCGTAACTTTTTTTGTTGAGCATATACTGTACAGACATAGCAAGACAGTTAAGAAAGAACAACTCATTACACCAACAGCTATACAATGTTGTACAAAGAAACCTTTTTTTCTTCATGTTGAGTAATCATTGATTATTTCCTACAAATTTCATATGAAAAATTCCCAAATACATTTCATAGTTTTAAATATTCCAGAATGAGTGATGACAATGTGGTCATGTCTTCAGAATACTTTTGTGGTTTTAATTTGGATCAAGAGTGCCTGAGAAAAAAAAAGTAATATGTGAAAATGTGCATATCCTATATCACAACATATAAATATGATTTTTTGTGAAAAAAACCCCATCAAACTCATCTTAAACATTTTTCCATATTTACTAAGTATTTCACCTGTTGTGTTGCAATTAACATACAAATAATGAACATACTTGCAATAGCCATATTTGTTGTGTACTTAAAAAAAAACAAAAATTGATACTGGCTTAAGATTTTGCACGAATATATTTTAAGACCAAAACTTTTGTAATAGATCCAACCGGCATTGATCATGTCCAACAGTGAGGAAAACAGACAAATTGTGGTTTCAGTAGCCCAGAAAGTTTTAGCCCAATTTTGATCGAAACAACATTCACATTTAGCGAAATTACAGGTGTGAAATGTTTTAGAAGTCTCTGGTTGATGTTTCATGTTTTCAAGTCAAAGAAGATCTAGTTGCACCTTACAAGGCAACACTAACTTTTCTACAGAGATTCTAAAGTTTGGATAAAACCTCATGAGCACAGCACACTACCTATTGTGCCACCCATAGCAACGTGATGATATTTGTGACGTTTCTACCCCAAATATCACTATAACAGTCTGAGTAAAGTTAGTTTCAGATTGCTAATTTACCAGGGGCCCGATTTACAAAGCGATTGTAGCGCTACGACAGTCGTAAGTCTATGTTAAAGTGTGGGAGTTACGATCACCTTAGTGCTATGACTGTCGTAAGTCTATGTTAAAGTATGGGAGCTACGATCATCTTAGCTCTACGATCGCTTTGTGAAATGGGGCCCTGGGTCCCGTTCTTCAAAGCAATCATAGCGCTATGACAGTCGTAAGTCTATGCTAAAAAAGGGAGTTACGATCATCTTAGCTCTACGATCGCTTTGTGAAATGGGGCCCTGGGTCCCGTTCTTTAAAGCAATTGTAGAGCTTTGACAGTCGTAAGTCTATGTTAAAGTTTGGGAGTTACGATAATCTGAGCGCTACGATCGTTTTATGGAAAGGAGCCCTGATCTCATGAAAGCCTTGACTAGGCATACCAGTGGTTGATAGAGTGAGCATCAAGCCATTGTCACAAGACAGGTGAAAGAGTTAATCATCTCTTGTGGCCACCAATGAGGTACTGTGATATGGTGAGTTAATAGATTTAGTATGGCAAGATTATTAAGATGATAGAAAATCCATTCTCAACAGAATAATGAATACCGAAGAGGTTCCATTTGATGGGACATAATTAAGTTACACTAAAATGTACAAATATATACTAAGAATAATGGTTTTATACAATTACATCTAGAGCTGTGAGATCATACACTCATAATTACAGTGCGGACATCCTCACTTGTCCAGGGTGTATATCTCTAATACCCTGGATTATAGAAGATGTCATGCTGACTACTTTCTCACCATTTAGTTATACACAGAAATATACATACAATGAGATTATATACATCATATTATGAGAGTGCCTGATCTAAGTAAACAGACAGACAATATTTTTTTATGTATACATGCTTTTAAGGTCAAATTAATCTTTTCTTAATAAACAAAACCAAATATATTCTTAATAAATTTGTTACATTTCAATCATTTTCATTCAATATGATAATATATAAAATGACATGTAGCCTATCAGTTCACCAGAAAGAAATATTGGTATTTCCTACAGAATTCTTTATACTGTTGTGGTCATTGAATTTTAAGGAATATCCAAAAATCTCTCTTTTTTACATATCTCATAGCAGGTGAGAATAATCATGAATAGTTCCAGTGATGTGACAAAATGGAATATACCATTATGAGATAGAGATGGTGTTACGCTGCTTTTATGACATACTAGTACATGGATTTATGCTTGGACAAAATAATGTAAGGACCAGATCATTTTTCTCTCAAAGTATTTGTTAAAATACAAAATTATATAAAAGCAAAGAAATTTGGGAGGTTGTGAGATTAATTTCCTAAAATACCTCTTGAAAAAAGGTTGAAAATTAAGCATAATATAAAATGCAAAAATTTCAAATGATTTCTATTGAACATTTGTAGAATAAACCGCAGGGTCGCCTGTAAAATGAAAGAAACAAATGGTCTGGCCATGGAAAAAACATTTCAAATAAACACGACAAATGACACAAACAAAACATATAAGAATGAGTGAAAGAATATAAATGCTGACATGTAGATATATAAAAGAATGCTTTAAAAACTAAATCTCATGTTTATAACATTGACCTGATAACATAAAAGTTTAAAAATGTCAAAGTAAATATGAATATGCTTTGCATGACAAACAGTACGCAGGGAAACATTATCATGTTTTCATGGTTGACTTGCAAGCAAGTTCAGATTCGTGAAACCGTTGTTGAATAATTACACACTTTTTAATTCATCCTTGAAAAAATATTTACCAAAACATTCTTCACAAGAATTTTTAGAGATTGTAAGAATCATTTTTGTATTGGTGGTGTGCTGCTGATCTTTCAGTAGTGAGTGGCTGTGATTTTACATAACTTCAAACAATAGTCCGGCCATGTAAAGGTTTGTTTGTTTTTTGTTTAATGCTACAGTCAGCACCAATACATATACATCAGTATGTAAACAACCAAGTCAGGACCAGACAATCCAGTGACTGACATAATAAGTATTGATCTGTGCGACTTGGACATTCATGATGACAAGCATCAACCAAATCAGCAAGTCCGATCATCTGATCCCATTATGCGCCGCTTATAACGAGCATCACTTCCATATCAAGAATGGACTTCGCAAAAGAATAAAAGGTTTAATCACAAACTTAAAAAAGTCCACCCCATTACTGTTTGAAACTAGCCACATCCGAAATTTGCATGAGATTCTTGGCATGACATATTACCAAAACAATTTTTATTTTCTTTGAATGTGGATGTCAAGTGCCTTTTTTTTGACAGAAAATGTTTCTTTTGAAGACTGAACTATTGAGACATTTACAAAAAATTCCATCACATGACAGAACATTACAATTAAAGATACGTATTTTACTTTAAAGTATTTGTGATACTGTTAAGACTACAACAGCCATGTTTAGACAAGGGAGGTAATTCACAAACTGATATTACCCATACCTGTAAAAAAATTGTTTCTTATAATTAAGTGATTATTCAAAGTAATTAGTTTGTTATGATCTAAGATGAGATCATTATTACCTCAGACGGTTCAATACATGTTTGTTATGAGTGTGTTTCATCACATCAATCAGTTTGTAAAATATTGTAAGACATGATAACCCTTCGGACAATTGTGAACACATGATGCTCCAATATCAATGCATTCATAAATATGAGTGATATTGCACTTGTTGCATGACTATTACCCTTTTAGAGTGCTAACACAAACACTTGCGGAGTACTGGTAGCACTTGAAGGGTTAATCCTGAAATTCCTGGACAAAAATGCTTAGGAATCATCTTTTGATATTCAGGAAGTACAGGGATAAAGTTTTGTTTGGAAAGGCAATTTGTTCATTTGTTTTTGAAAATTCTGAGGAAAATTTATTTGTCCTAAAATTTTACTAAAACAAAGTGAACATTTCATAAGAATTGCTGGATGAGCTGAGTTATGGGGTACAAAATATTTTTGGACTTTTTTAGAAGATAAATTTATATCTTGAAGTCCAAATCCCCATGAATATTAAGAGGTCATCCCCTCAAAATATACAAAACATCACAAAATAAGATTGGGAAAGATCAACAACTAGAATACAAGCAATATGGAGACTGTTTCTTGTTTGCTTATCAAAAGAGTATCAGTGAAAACGTTGTATAATTCTAGGACATAAATATTCTTTTTGACTTAAATCAGCTTCAAATTATTTCTTGGTAATTTGTCACATTATTTAGTTTCTATTTCTTATATTTTTTTTTACAGATATCATTGTCTGAATAAGTTCATAGTTTTTTTCAATATGAATTCTCTTAAATACAAGTAGTGCCAAGCAAGTGACACAAGCAGAGGTATAAGTCGTACGGCTTTGTATGAGTGACACAGCATTAATACTAGTGGTGACTCAAGTAGTACCACTTTTTACCTGCGATACCAGCAGTAATACTAGTGGTGACTCAAGTAATACCACCCTTTACTTGTGATAAAAGCAGTAATACTAGTGGTAATGCAAGTAGTACCACTTTATACATTCAACACTTGCAGTAAAACTAGTGGTGACACAAATAGTACCACATTTCCCTGCGATACATGAAGTAAAACCTGTGGTAAGACAATATCATTACCACAAGCCATAACACAAGCAGAATGGCCATAGTCATGTCAGTTCAAATATTGTACAGGTACTTGTAACACAACCTTAACTTGAATACACTAAAACAATCCTCACACTGTTAATTCCATTGTCTGAAACCATGTGATATCTTGTTGTATGGTTTATCTCAGAGATACTTCAGGTACAGACTGTGCAAAACAGTCATGTGACTCCCTGCATCTTATAGCCATATGACCTCTGAACCTTTTGGTCACATGACATCAATTATGTCATTACTCGTTTTTCTTAAAATAGCCCTTGGTCCCTACACATCTCTCAGATATCAGGATCATTGTTGATATCCTGTGGCTGGGATACCAGGGGCACTGTTGATATCCTGTGGCTAGGATACCAGGGGCACTGTTGATATCCTGTGGCTGGGATACCAGGGGCACTGTTGATATCCTGTGGCTGGGATACCAGGGGCACTGTTGATATCCTGTGGCTGGGATACCAGGGGCACTGTTGATATCCTGTGGTTAGGATACCAGGGGCACTGTTGATATCCTATGGCTGGGATACCAGGGGCACTGTTGACATCCTGTGGCTGGGATACCAGGGGCACTGTTGATATCCTATGACTTGGGTAAAAGGATCATTGTTGATACCATGAACACTGCTTCTAGCATGTGGTTTTCATTCGGCTTGGATATGGGGCACTGTGGATATCCTGTGGCTAGGGTAAGAGCAGCTCAGTCGATATACTGTGTTCTTCTGTAGCTGACGTACCTGGGGCACCATTGGTATCTTGTGTGGTGGGTACCATAAGGATCAATATCCTTTGTTTTTTCAGTGGTTTGGGTACCAGGATTATTGTTAATATCCTATGGCCTTCCCATGGCAGGGGTACTAGGATATATCCTGTGGTTTGGATGACTGAGGTACCTGATCACTGTTGATATCATGGCCTTTTCGTGGCCTAGGTACCTGATCGATGTTGATATCATGGCCTCCCTGTGGCTGAGGTAACGGATCAGTGTTGATATCATGGCCTTCCTGTGGATGAGGTACCAGATGACTGTTGATATGGCCTTCCTGTGGCTGGATTTCCGGATCACTGTTGATATCAAGGCCTTCCTGTGGCTGAGGTACCACTTTCAGTGTTGATATCCTTGGGGTCTCCCTGTAACTCTATCCAATGCTTCTAATGTGAGTTAACCCTCCAAATGCTGCATACTATTAACCCTTTTAGGGTTAACTCCCCAAGTGTAGTGGACGGAGAGACTGATACATCCAATAAATACCTTGGTCCATGTTGTACAGATATGCTTGCTGGCAACTTGTACTTGGTGATATTTACAGTGAGAGAGTGGTTGGTGAACTGTCGCCAAGCTAACTGCAACAAAATATAGCCAGAGTGAGAATTTGTCATCATTTTGAGGGGTATTTTTTTATAGAAAATTCTTCAAACTTCATTACTCAAATGCTAAATTCTACTTGCTTCACAATCTACTACACTACGGTTGGTTGGATGCTGTGTTTTTAATGCCGCACTAACAGGATTGGGTGTCAGGCTCACTGACTTGGTTCACACATTTCATCGTATCCAAAGTGTAGATGTTCATGATGTTAAGATTTCACAGGATTGTCTGGTCCAGATTTGATTATTTACAGACTCGAATCCAGGTCGGGTATAGCTGGAATCGAGTACTATTTCTAGGAATCGAGTACCCGGAAAAGGAGATGGGCACATAATAACTTGTCTTTTTCATTATTGACATAAGACACATTTGCATCATTGGTATTGTCCGATTAATGGAGGTCATTATTAATGACTGTATATATCTGAGCATGAGCAGTGAGGAGTCGAGTTACAGGAACAGCGGTTTAACGAGGAATGCATGTAATGGTGTTACTCTCTATATTTGTCCCAGCCTTAGTTCATGGTCCAGGAGCCATAGCCTTAGGCCCAAGGCCAAGGGGAACATTACTTATCAAAGAGGACTCATCACTCTGGGAAACTGGATACTGTTGTAGAACGATGCTCAGGTGTTGATCACTGGATTGTATGGTCCAGACTTGATTATTCACAGACTGCCACCATATATGTGGAATATTGTTGAGTGCGGCGTTAAACAACTAACAAACCAAACCAAACTCTATCCAAAGACTTGGGATTATTGCCATTACTCACTTGGGACAGATTATCTGTAATTGCTTCAGGTGTATCAGTTGTTCTTTAATTGTCCTACATTTAAGAAATTGTTGACGGGACGGGTGAGTGACTTACGTTCAGTGAAGGACCTGTAAGTGGAGGCCTGTCCGGGGGTCGGGGGAACACACACCGCAGTAACCCCCGCATACACCACGGATAATCTCTCCATCCTGCAACATCAACATCACCTTCATGTACAATATGTGACAATATTGTTCACAAGTTCAGATATTACAAGTTAAATTAATGCACTTTGCAAGGGTATATAAGGATGATATTGCAACACCCTAGTGATATCGCTACACCCTAGAAGCAGTGTGCGAATTAGCCATTGGCCTGCTAGCTTATGGCTAGTAAAAATCCAGTTGGGCCAGTAAATCTCCACAGTCACTGGCCAGACTGGCTGGTGAATTTTCATGAGGTCTTTTTGAAAATATATCACTCTCCCCGACTTCTTAAGTTATAATACACTTTTAAATCATGCAAGATTATGGCCTGATAAAAAAGTTCATCATGTTAGCAGCTTAATGATGAAACCCGTGTTTGCATTCAAATTTCAGGCAAGTGAATTATTTTGTTGGCCAGTAACTTTCAGGCATAGCTAGCCTGACTGGCTAGTAAAATTTGGAAACTATTTCGAACACAGACTAGAAGGGTGCACATTGGCAATACGGCTACACGGAAGTAGGGTACAAACTAGTGATACAGCTACGCCCTAGAAGGGCCCACCTCTTACCCTGAGACGCCATATTCTCTGTGATGCCTTGTTCCCTTCAAGGGTCCATGTTGTGTTCTCGGACACTGTCAGGCCGGTCCCAGTCAGGTTGATGCTGAAGAGGCCCTACAATCACAACCAAACACATCCTTGATGTGAGTGTTTTCCACAATCTGGTTAATAAACAGTGTTTTTTTCTGGTTAAGTAGAAAGGAAACCAGTTCTACTTGTTTAGATGCACAGGAGCCCAGTTCTATTGGTTTAGGTAGACAGGAACCCAGTTCTACTGGTTTAGGTAGACAGGAACCCAGTTCTACTGATTTAGGTAGACAGGAACCTAGTTCAACTGGTTTTTAGATATACAGAAGCCCAGTTCTACTGGTTTAGGTAGACAGGAACCTAGTTCTACTGGTTTTTAGATATACAGAAGCCCAGTTCTACTGGTTTAGGTAGACAGAAGCCCAGTTCTACTGGTTTAGGTAGACAGGAACCCAGTTCTTCTGGTTTAGGTAGACAGGAACCCAGTTCTACTGGTTTAGGTAGACAGGAACCTAGTTCTACTGGTTTTTAGATACACAGAAGCCCAGTTCTACTGGTTTAGGTAGACAGAAGCCCAGTTCTACTGGTTTAGGTAGACAGGAACCCAGTTCTTCTGGTTTAGGTAGACAGGAACCCAGTTCTACTGGTTTTTAGATATACAGAAGCCCAGTTCTACTGGTTTAGGTAGACAGAAGCCCAGTTCTACTGGTTTAGGTAGACAGGAACCCAGTTCTTCTGGTTTAGGTAGACAGAAGCCCAGTTCTACTGGTTCAGGTAGACAGAAGTCCAGTTCTACTGGTTTAGGTAGACAGAAGCCCAGTTCTACTGGTTTAGGTAGACAGGAACCCAGTTCTTCTGGTTTAGGTAGACAGGAGCCCAGTTCTACTGGTTTTTAGATATACAGGAGCCCAGTTCTACTGGTTTAGGTAGACAGAAGCCCAGTTCTACTGGTTTAGGTAGACAGGAACCCAGTTCTACTGGTTTAGATAGACAGGGGCCCAGTTCTTCTGGTTTTTGTAGACAGGAGCCCAGTTCTACTGGTTTAGGTAGACAAGAGCCTAGTTCTAATGGTTTAGATGGACAGGAACCTGGTTCGCTGATGATCAGACTCACCTGTGGGCAGGCCTTTGAGCTGTAGCAATCTCCTGCTGTACCATATGGAATGAGCTTCCCACTGTGGACGTTACTGAAGGTCCCATCAGTAGCTGAAAATATCACAACATTCATATAAAATTAGACCTTTGTTCCTCTCTTTGGTCAGTGGACGAGATAACCGTGAATATAGAAACGCTTCAATTATTTTCTTAGTGTTTGTAAAAATATCATTTGGTAGGATGAGAACCAATTAAATTTTCATCATCCTCGATAATCTCCAGGGTATACGTTCCGATAAATCTCCACTAGTACCCTGGATGCATCTACGGCTTGGCCTGATAATTTTATTTGTGGAGAGTTTGTAAAATGAGGCTTTTATGTTGAGTTGTTTTGTTCACTGTTCTTGGGGAAAAAATTGTTTGGAGGAAAGATGAAAAGTATTTGATATTTATAGCAGTGTAGGAAAGATAGCCCGTCCAAACGTCCGAGACAGGTGAATTTTGTGGAGGACGGGTTAAAAAAATATCTAGTCCGTCCTCATGTCGGGTCAATTTTAGCAAACCAATGATATATATATAATGATTATAACCTTTTTGAATATTTACTGCCGAAGGTGTTTTATTTATATTTGGAGGACAGGCTAGATTTTGGCAGGACTGGTAAACAATTTGACATGCCAGTCCTGTGGACAGGCTAGATTTTCTACATCTTTCCTACACTGTTAATAGGTCATCATTGAGGAATAGTTTTCAATATGGAGGCTGAGATGTCATGACACCTACTGTCAACAACATCAGGCTGACATGTCATTAGGCATTACCTTAATGACATTACAGGATGTGATATTAACACTTATTACTCGCCTGTGTAAAATACTGCAGTGTAATATTTTTAAGACAATATTACACTAGTGTAATACCGCTAGACGTATGACGTCATAATGGTGTACAGTTATGACGTCACAATGCTAATCCCTCTGTCACAATGGTATTTGACCTTGCCTGACTCACGGAAAGCTGACAGACATGACACTGTAGGCAGTTTCTATCAATTTATGTGGGGGAGTAAGAAACAGAATACTAAACTCGCTTCCGTGAAATACCATTTTTATTAAACTCGTGAAAGATTTAGTCTCAAACTCGCTTTCGCTCATTTGATACCAAATCGTTAACTCGTGTAATAAAAATGGTATTACACGGAAGGTCGTTTAGTATCCTCTATATATGTCAACACATATATGTCAACAGCGAAGTGCTTTAAATCATTGTGACATCAGCTTTAATTGTATTTCCAAGACCTTTGATTATTGCAAACTACATGGAAAATTACTGTACTCACGTAATATTTTTAAAGTGTTTAGGTCTATTCTGACTTTGGAGTAAGTTGTGCTGCCTGCTTGTTTGTATGGTTTCCGTCGGCAACGGGTGCAGACTTGGGGGCGTGTGCCATTGTTGGGGCAAGATGCTGGGTTCCGTAGTCTGACAATCAGAGAAGTGAATTTCATGCCAATCAAAACATTTAAGTTATGTCACAATTGGTCTTGAAATATAAATCAGTATTTAAATCTTAAACCCACTGCTAATCAACAGATCTCACATGAAAATGAGGGTCACATGCTTAGCACTATGGCTATGTTTAAGTACGGGATTTCCAGAGGTGATGACTATCCCATCAAACTCAGATCTTTGAAAACAAGTTAGCATCAAAACTTCTAAATTATCAATATGAGAGAGCAAAGTATTCAAAGAGTTACTGCAAATACTGCACAGGAGTGAAAGAGGATATTTTAATTAGTTTTATTAAATGACCAGTCACCTACCTGTGGTCAAACATCTCGGCATAGTTCTGGTGGCGATCATTGGGAAGTGTCAGGTATTCGTGGGGAAGGGATTTCCTCATGTCATTACAGTAGATCTGCAACATGGCACAACATGTATAACCTGCTTGATGACTGCAGTTTAAGTAACAAGATCGGGTGGTCAGATCTGCAACATGGCACAACATGTATAACCTGCTTGATGATTGCAGTTTAAATAACAAGATCGGGTGGTCAGATCTGCAACATGGCACAACATGTATAACCTGCTTGATGACTGCAGTTTAAATAACAAGATCGGGTGGTCAGATCTGCAACATGGCACAACATGTATAACCTGCTTTATGACTGCAGTTTAAATAACAAGATCGGGTGGTCAGATCTGCAACATGGCACAACATGTATAACCTGCTTGATGACTGCAGTTTAAATAACAAGATTGGGTGGATGACACATGTCATCGTATCTCAACTGTGTAGATTGATGCGCATGCTGTTAATCACTGTATTGTCTGGTCCATACTTAATTATTTACAGACTGCTGCCATATAGCTGCAATATTGTGGTGTGCGGTGTTAAACAACAACATCAATATTGTAACGCAAATTAGGGAGCGAAATTTAGGCATGTTTGTAAACAAAGTTGTGCTACCACATTATGCCACTAAAGTATGTCAGGGGTGGAAATAACCCATTGCCCGACGTCCGAATCCAGTGTTTTCTTCTGTCGGGCAAGCAAATTTGTATATCACACTGTACCGGTGTCCAGTTGACTTTCCAATGTTAATTATGTTGTTTATTTTAAAAAATCAACAAGAAAACGGCCGGTATAGTGGGAAAATTATCAGGGCAAGTGATTTTACATGTGCCACTGTTCCGGAGTACACTAGCAATTTTAAAGTTATTTCCACCCCTATATGTGCCCTTGTGCATGTGAGCATATAAGTGTAGACTACAAAATCACTCTGAATCTTGTCATGTTGTCCATGGTTTATCATACACCTCATCCTGATGCTGTACATCACTTACTGTGATCAGCTTCCGGTCCACCATCAGCTTGTACTCCCCGTCCACCCGGATCGTGGTGATCTCCTTTAGCTCCTTGCATGATCTAGCGTAACCTAGGCAACACAGAGATGATGGGCGATGAAGCAGAGGAGAATACAGATATTATCTATGTTATACTGTCATGAGATGCACAGTGAGTCAACTTTAATTGCTAATCACGACACCTTTCTCAATATCTGACTGACAAAAATGCTGGAAGGTCATTAAAAGCGTTACGAGTAATATACTGAAGCAAGTGTAAAGTTTGGTAGAGATACAGACAAAGAAGACTCATGATATTCCAACGAGTCACCCTTATATGACACTTGTGAGTGAGTGAGTTAAGTTTTATGCCGCTTTTAGCAATATTCCAGCAATATCACAGCAGGGGACACCAGAAATGGGCTTCACACATTGTACCCATGAGGGCAATTAAACCTAGGTCTTCGTCGTGACAAGCGAACGCTTTAACCACTAGGCTATCCTTCCGCCCCTACATAACACTAAGACTGTGTGGAATAGGCAATTCTTTAACAAAACTTAATTCCAACCACCACAATGCTCATATACCACTAAAGGGGCGCTGGGGTAGCCTAGTGGTTAATGCGTTCGCTCGTCACGCCGAAGACCCGGGTTCGATTCCCCACATGGGCAAAATGTATGAAGCCTATTTCTGGTGTCCCCCGCCGTGATATTGCTGTAATATTTCTAAAAGCGGCATAAAACAAAACTCACTCACTCACTCATATACCACTATAAATCTCATAACCCCTATACTCTCATACAGATGTTCTTGCTACACTGTCATGATGCTATGTTTAAGTATGGAATATATAACTTACATGGTCCGTTGTAGCAGGCCCTGCTGGACTCGGGGCGGTACAGTCGCACGCAACGCCGCTTGGACTTGCGGCGCCCCTTCTTGTCGACACACTTGATCATCCTCCGCTGCTTCCCATGGCCACAGCGTACAGTACACTGCAGAAAAATATAATTGTTACTGTTTTAAAACTTCCTCCACCCCACCCCCAAAATGCTGACACCTTAATAACAACACAGTGTTTGGGAGAATGAATTTTATTGTGCTGAAACCTGTGAGTTGGAAATAAGCATTTGTTCGAAAATAATCAAGTTTGACATCCATAGAACCACAGTTTTGGCTGAATCAGGTTTGTATGCTTACTGACCTATGCTTCTCATGTTTGACACAAGTGAACCGATGTCTTCTATGAGAGAGGGGACATCCATGGACAATTAATATCTCTAAAAGAGCAAAAGTATCTGCTCTGTAATTTGAGGAAATACAGTATTTAACTCATTGATTACACCGTAGAGAGAGTTTTAACTGTTGGAAGTGGACAAACAGATCTCAACATCCACTAGAGACTTAGTCCTTGATAATATATAATTTTGACAAAATATAATTCCTTTCAAACTGAAAAGGAGCCGCAGTAACAGAGATGGGAGACTGAACCTGAGGAAATCTAGACTTGCTTCATTTAGGGCTTGAGCACTGCAGAAAGGGTCGGGTGGAAGGGAAAATAATGCAGTTGAGGGACTGAGACAGACTACTACTATAGTCCGTTTGGCTCAAAAGCGGACCGATGAATTGCAATCTAACATCGGACCAACTCTGTGAGGTTTTTGCAGAATTTATGTCCTAAAAATAAAAAAGTTGTTTAACAAACTGTCATTAAAATATTGACACAGTTCACTATTTGTTACGAGGGAGGAGTGCAGAGAAATGGACAGCCAGGTGTTCGAGAAAGGATGGAGACGGCACAGCACAGATAAACAAATAGTGAACTGTGTCAAAATTTTAATGATGGTTTGTTAAAAAACTTTTCAATTTTAGTACATATATTCTGCAAATAAATCACAGAGTTGGTGTGATGTTTTGATTATGATCAGCGGTTCATTGAGTATTATATGTTTATTAGTTTTCAAGTTAGATTGCAATTCATCGGTCCGCTTTTGAGCCAAACGGACTATAGTTGGGGTATGGAAGCTGTCAGTTGGACTTTTGAAAAGTGAGTCCTAGAACTGGGTTTGAGACAGACTTGACATCCACTTATGTGGTGATTTAGTTGCCTTTATCAGTCAATAGAGATTATTCAAGGGTTATCGTTGTGTTTTACACTCACCTGTCCCCATGGTCCGACCCTCCATCTGTAATCAGCATTACAGTCGCCATAGTTACAGTATCGGACTCGTGTGGGTTTCTCAGTGATTGGACAGCGGTGGGGTACCTGACCTGGTAGTATCCAGCCCTCCCGCGTGACAGACTGACACACCACAGTGCGGATCTGCTTCCCCTCACTGCAGGTCGATGTGCACTGCAAGAAGTCAGTCGGTGATGACAAAATGATGACAACAATGGTAACATGATGACAGGTCATTAAATGATGACAATAGTAACATGATGATACGTCATTAAATGATGACCAAAAAAGTTTGTTTGGTATTTTGTTGCGTAAAACCACACTCAGTTGCAACATTCCAGCTATATGGCAGCAGTCTGTTAATAATCAAGTCTGGACCATACAATCCCGTGATTGACATCATGAGCATCAATTTACGCAATTGGAATATGATGACATGTGTCAACTATGTTGGCAAGCCTGACCACCTGATCCCGTTAGTCGCCTCTTACGACAAGCATTGGTTGCTGGATTCTAACCTGGATCTTAACGTGTAGACACAAAATGATAACATAATCATAAAATTATGACAAATATTCATAAAATTATGACAAATATTCATAAAATTAAGACAACACAATAACAACAATGAAAATAATGATACAGTTATGCTGGATAACAACCTGCCAAGGTTAAAAGAAGGCAGATACCTTGTACCCTTTTCAAGTCAAAACTGTCATGTCCATCAATTCCCTCTCAATTGTATAATTGGCAGTTTTGTTTAAACTGGCATCACTTATATGCATCTAGCTATAACTCAGTTTGTATGTAATGAATAGGACATGTTTCCCTAACCCTTTCAATCACCTCAAGAAGAGGAAAGAAGTACATATAGCCACAGGTGAAGATGTACAAAGTGATCTTAGCGCTAAGGTGACCATAACTCCAATGCCTTAACATAGACCCATGGTGCCGTTGTACAAAGCGATCTCAGTGCTAAGGTGACCATAATCCAAAAAAACCTTAACATGGACCCATGGAGCCGTTGTTCAAAGCGATCTTAGTGATAAGGTGACCATAACTCCAATACCATAACATGGACCCATGGAGCCGTTGTTCAAAGCGATCTTAGCGATCTTAGTGCTAAGGTGACCATAACTCCAATACCTTAACATGGACCCATGGAGCCGTTGTACAAAGCGATCTTAGTGCTAAGGTGACCATAACTCCAATACCTTAACATGGACCCATGGAGCCGTTGTACAAAGTGATCTTAGTGCTAAGGTGACCATAACTCCAATACCTTAACATGGACCCATGGAGCCGTTGTACAAAGCGATCTTAGTGCTAAGGTGACCATAACTCCAATACCTTAACATGGACCCATGGAGCCGTTGTACAAAGTGATCTTAGTGCTAAGGTGACCATAACTCCAATACCTTAACATGGACCCATGGAGCCCATACCTCCAATACCTTAACATGGACCCATGGAGCCGTTGAACAAAGCGATCTTAGTGCTAAGGTGACTGTAACTCCCATACCTTAACATGCACCCATGGAGCCCATACCTCCAATACCTTAACATGGACCCATGGAGTCGTTGTACAAAGCTATCTTAGTGCTAAGGTGACCATAACTCCAATACCTTAACATGGACCCATGGAGCCGTTGTACAAATCGATCTTAGTGCTAAGGTGACTGTAACTCCCATACCTTAACATGCACCCATGGAGCCCATACCTCCAATACCTTAACATGGACCCATGGAGCCGTTGAACAAAGCGATCTTAGTGCTAAAGTGACCATACCTCCAATACCTTAACATGGACCCATGGAGCCGTTGTACAAATCGATCTTAGTGCTAAGGTGACTGTAACTCCCATACCTTAACATGCACCCATGGAGCCCATACCTCCAATACCTTAACATGGACCCATGGAGCCGTTGAACAAAGCGATCTTAGTGCTAAAGTGACCATACCTCCAATACCTTAACATGGACTAGCGACAGGCTTGATGCTAAGGTTATTTTGTACAACCAAGAACCACTGTGCCTGCATAATAAAGAAATTGTTACCACTACTGCTACTACTTGTCATACAACTACATACATTTCTCAGCCTTGGACATAAATGCATTTGAAATATTGTGGTCAGATTTGTTAAGTAACATTAACATATATTTCTTTCAGCCATGACACCTTCGAGACCTACCTCGCTCCACGGCCCCGTGTTCCAGATGAAGGGACATGGGAACTCGCTACATCGCCGCCGCACCTTCGGCTTCCTGTCATTGTCACAGAGGTGAGAGGACACGGCCGTGCCCAGTCTGTCCGTGCATGTGACCGATCTCTCCTTCCGACCGAATCCACATGTCTTGGAGCACTAGAAACAACAGGGGCAAATATAAACCAACTGGTAGTTATCATTGTGATATGTCTGTCTGATAACTTAGGCATCATGATGTTATGTCTGGAACTACATTTAAGCTTCTACATCAGTTTAAGTTCTGCTTGCTGCGCTGCTGGCTATGCCACAATGTTTCATTTAACCACTTTACAAAGTTTGTTCCGGCCTCCAAAGTTTTGAATGGGCACAATACACGAAATAGCAGTTACGCTATGCAATACAATATTATTTGGCCTTTATTACATGTTAAGTGAGTGAGTTTAGTTTTAAGACGCTTTTAGCAATATTCCAGCTATATCACGGCCGGGGACACCAGAAATGGGCTTCACATATTGTACCCATTATTCCATGTTAAGCATAATGCAGGTGTCCTATAACAGAGGGGGTCATCCATGGACCCCAAGACATTATGGTGAGGGACAGCTCTATGTTCTTACCTCTGACCATATCCCCGGCCTATGCTATGCAATACAATATTACTTGGCCTTTATTCCATGTTAAGCATAACACAGGTGTCCTATAACAGAGTGGGTCATCCATGGACCCCGAGACATTATGGTGAGGGCCAGCTCTATGTTCTTACCTCTGACCATATCCCCGGCTTCCACTTGAACTTCAAGCAAGTCTTTCTGTGACACTTTATGGTGGTTTGAGGCTTGGTTGCGTTCTGACACTGTTCTGCGTCCACGACGTCACGTCGGCTGATCATACACTTGACCTCCCTTCGCTTGACCCCGACACCACATGATACAGAGCACTGGAGGACAGAGCAGATAGAAACGGTATAGAACCTCACGAAACAGCCACCTTCAACAAGCCTGATGTCTACGCTGTCACAATATCTGTTAAGACAGATCTTTACTCTTGTACCTGTGAATTATGTCATCCCTTCATGTGGAAGAGTATCTATGGTTCTGGAGATTCTATATATGCACAAAATGATAAAAAAATTACTTGCATCATGGGAGACAACTCTGTCAGACTTATCCCTCATCTCTCTTACACAGTAAGTAAACTGGGTTTGTTGTGAGACTGTTGTTTGAGCGACCAGATTGTTTAAGACTGTTTGAGTGACTGGTTTGTTTGAGTGGCCAGATTGTTTGAAACTGTTTGAGTGACTGGTTTGTTTAAGCGGCCAGATTGTTTGAGTGACCAGAATGTTTGAGTGACTGGTTTGTTTGAGTGACCAGATTGTTTGAAACTGTTTGAGTGACTGGTTCGTTTGAGCGGCCAGATTGTTTGAGTGACTGGTTTGTTTGAGTGGCCAGATTGCTTGGTGACTGGTTTGTTTGAGTGGCCAGATTGTTTGAGTGACTGGTTTGTTTGAGTGGCCAGATTGTTTGAGTGACTGGTTTGTTTGAGTGGCCAGATTGTTTGAGTGACTGGTTTGTTTGAGTGGCCAGACTGTTTGAGTGACTGGTTTGTTTGAATGACTGGTTTGTTTGAGTGACTGGTTTGTTTGAGTGACTGGTTTGTTTGAGTGGCCAGATTGTTTGGTGACTGGTTTGTTTGAATGAATGACTGGAGTGACAGTTTGTTTGAGTGGCCAGATTGTTTGGTGACTGGTTTGTTTGAGTGGCCAGATTGTTTGAGTGACTGGTTTGGCCAGATTGTTTTGTTTGAGTGACTGGTTTGTTTGAGTGGGAGTTTGAGTGGGCCAGATTGTTTGAGTGACTGGTTTGTTGATTGTTTGAAACCGTTTGAGTGACTGGTTTGTTTGAGTGACCAGTTTGTTTGAGTGACTGGTTTGTTTGAGTGGCCAGATTGTTTGAGTGACTGGTTTGTTTGAATGACTGGTTTGTTTGAGTGACTGGTTTGTTTGAGTGGCCAGATTGTTTGAGTGACTGGTTTGTTTGAGTGCCAGATTGCTTGGTGACTGGTTTGTTTGAGTGGCCAGATTGTTTGAGTGACTGGATTATTTGAGAATGTTTGAGAGACTAGGCTGTTTGAGAGATAGGATTGTTTGATTGACTGGGTTGTTTGATTGACTGGGTTGTTTGAGAGAGTGGGTTACCAGGAAAATTACATAAGGGACATTGGAAACAAGTCTATATTATAAAACTGAAATCTATTTCACATTTTCCAACATGAAACTGAACCCCCCACAAAATCATGATCCAGCTACTGAAACTGATGAACAAAAACCTCAATGCCTGCATGTACAAGAGGTTCATCCTCCTACAAAACTGTAGTTTCTGTAAAACCGTGGATCAAGCACAAGATATTTGGTCATGATATGTGTCTCCAGTGAAGATTACTGGCAGATTGGTATTGAAATCATGGAGACTTCCATGAATGAAGCAAATCCGGTAGCCATGATAGTTATACATGGTGTAGCCAAATTTCAATTACTTGTTTGGAGCAGAAAAGTAATGAAAACCTTGTTTTGCCATACAAGAACCCCAAAGTTACATTTTACCAACAAAGTCACAGACAATGACAGTATTACAGTGATTATTTGTTTGCTGCACTCAGAGATTTCAGCTTGTAAGATACCGAATCTGGACCAGACATACAAGTGATTGATATCATGAGCATTATGATCAGGGTATGATGAGGCAATTAACCTGGGCCCATCTGCACAAAGTGATCTTATCTCTGCAATGATCGAAACTCCCATAGTCTAACATAGACCTAAGATGGTCTTAGAGCTATGATCACTTAGTGCAAGTGGACAATTATTAGGCCATAATGAAGGACAGCAAGCACAGGTTGCTCTGAAATAAATTTATCCCAGTGAGTGAGTGAGTGAGTATGGTTTTGCACCGCTTTTTGCAGTATTCCAGCTATATCGCGGCAGGGGACACCAGAAATGGGCTTCACACATTGTACCCATGTGGGTAATCGAACCCGGGCCCTCAGTGTGACAATCGAACACTTTAACCACTAGGCTACCCCACCGCCCCAAATCTATCCCAGAATACCTATGGTCGTGAAACACACAGAAGAATAACCACTAACACGAACAGCATCAGCAACAAGTTCCCCCCAGCATCACTGTACATACACGAAGTCCATCAATAACACGTGTATAGACAGTTTGAAACTATAAATGGTAACCATGAAGTATGTCCCAAATTCTAAACAAAAATCTAATTTACCCCTGATAAATCGTTTCCAAAATCGGTGCTTCATTTCCTTCTAAAACAAGATGGCGATAGGTAAATCTTCCCCTTAATTATGTCAACTCTCAATCCTCGAAACTATTTAACCCCAGAAACAATTTTCAAACCGTAAATAGTTTACAAACATTACCCAGTATGCACCTTGCTAAGTGAGCCTTATATATAACAGGTGGCATTTCAAAGACAAATTGTGGAGTTTTTGTTTAGCATTCCCGACATTGATTGAGAAGGTAATTGAGGAACTTGAAGGGGCGTCTCCTTTAGTTCTAAACCTCCGACAGCTTCCGATGGATCCTCTCTTGTGGCGGTAATGAAACCAGGTCGTCTAAGGTCATGATTCTACAGAACAAGCTGACTTTCTGAGGTTATTGCCTTGATGGCTTCATCATTTAGCATCACACAGCAGCTTAGGAATGTCTACTGAATCTTCAACTTTTGTTAAATTGCTTCAGGTGTCGTCAGGTTCAGACGTTTGGATTTGTTTCGATGAAAGTTGATTGTTAGAATAATAATAATAATGATAATAATAATAATAATGACACAAATTTCTATATATGATTTAGGTACTAAAACACTCTAAGGTGCTTTACAGAAAGAGTCACAAATGCTACTGAGTGTAGTCCGATTTAAAGAGATGGATTTTTGCTCCCTTTTTAATTATGACATAAGATATTGAGTTTCTCAGATAGATGGTGGATCGTTCCACAGTGTTGCTGCAATCTTGCTGAAGCATCTGTCACCGTACATTACAGTCTCTGTTTTGGGCACAGCGATCAGAGATGCAGATTGTGATCAAAGAGATCGCGCAGGCCAATAAGGAATGACGAGCTCCTTGAGATATGTTGGAGCAGTGTTATGCAAGGCCTTGTACACGTACATCAAGATCTTGTACTGACACCGGAGGTTGAATGGCAACCATATCTCCAGGATCGGCATGATATTGTTGCGTTGGCTTTCTGAATTGTTCAGATTAGTTCCAACTAGTGAGTGAGTGAGTAGTGGTTTTTGTGCAGCTTTTTGCAATATTCCAGCAACATCATGGTGGGGGACACCAGAAATGGGTTTCACACATTGTACCCATGTGGGGAATCGAACCTGTACCCATGTGGGGAATCGAACCCAGGTCCTTGGTGTGACAAGTGAACACTTTAACCACTAGGCTATCCCACCGTCCTAATTCCATCTAAAGTATATTGTGTACATATGATGACATGTTTAGTGTTATTTTAATTAACTGAATTTATAAAAATTAGGGATTGGTCATTCATTGTAGAAGACTGGGTCAGTTTCATCTGAGGAAGGCAATCAAAAGTTTATACACCTATCTGGTGAGGGTCATATACAAATTGACATTTTGCGATAAAATATGGAGTGCTTTTGCATTTGTCTTTTCTTTTCCTAAAAATTAGTTTGAACCTAGATCTTCAAGGATCTACATACACACTCAGAGAGAACCAGAAAGAAAAACATCAGAGAACATCCAAGTAAGACAACAATAAGTTAACATTACTTCAAAATGGAGTCACAAAATGATAGTTGATAAGAAAATAACAGGAAACAACAACAACATATTTTCATTTCAGTGAATTTCAGTTTATACTCAGATCAAAGTCACAGGTGAAATGGTGTTATTCAGAACACATTGATAATCATGGCACTAAAATCAGTTACACACAGTATGGCAACCATCACTCAAGTTCAGCAATCATTCCATCAATATTCTCCTACATACGTCAAGTTTCTTACGTACATGTCCCAATATCTCCACATCAGCATGTCTGATTGGCTATTTTAGTCCAGCATCGTGATCAGTTCCATCTGCAGAGCGATATTTGTATATCCCCTTCCATGCTTTTATATTCCTTTATACAAAAGAGCTTTATTTGATGCCGGTTCTCTCTGTCCTGCTGTTTAGATAAGCCTCCTACTTCAGTAGCGGCGAAATTCCGGCCTGTGTCTTTATTTTGTAATACAGCGAAAGGTCGACCTGCCCCATTCCGTTCATTCCCCCAACACTGGCAGCACTGGTACAGATCTGTAGGAATTCACTTTTTGTCCTAATATCGGTTTATTCCCAGACGAAAATTTGAGAAAAATACCATTTTCCTGACCACTGACTAACAACACAGTTTTGTCAGATAAACCATACTGAAAAACTTGACAAGTGAATTTTTATAATTATTCTAATTCAATCTACCTAAAAATATATTTTACATGATATTGATTCTAAGTTTATTCAAAAATTTGGAAAATTGTTGCATTTTTCAGTTTGTTGTTTTGACCAATTGGAGCCCAAATGTAATCATAAAATGAAGTACGTTAGTATTATACTTATCTCACAGATTTTTCAAAAATACATAAGAAAGTAAAGAGCTAAGTTTTAAGCCACTGCAAATCTATAACAAAGTCTTCTCAGAAGTGTGTAAATAACTGAGTCTGGACCAGACAATCCAGTGATCAACATCATGAGCATCAATCTATACAATTGCTTCTCGGAAGTAAATACCACATGTAAGACAAAAGCAAACAAACACACTGTAATTTAAACAGTATTAGCAATTATGTTTACCTCTTAACCAAACAATCCCAACAACATCGCTTCACCTTTAACCCCTACCAAATATATATAGATATTAAGCTGCAAAAACTGGGAAATACAAACTAACAAACTCTGGGAATAACATCACATGGGATTTTTTGTCCAAAGATAGACACCATGTAATTATATTTGAAATAAATTGTCGGAAGCCTGCAGATAAATTTACAGATTAAACTTTTAAAAGGAAATTTCTTTCAAGAAAATGTGCTTCACTTAATTACATTTCAACCAAAATAAAAGATTGAAATCACGATAACTTTGTGTTGAGTGTGAGGTGCACTACCCTAGAGCAGTAAGGCTGGTCTTCCTCACACCTGTTCCATGTAGACACCGAGAAAACCAGACCAGACCGATGTCTGGAATACCAGGAACTGACGGCATGGATTGACGCACAACCACAAACAAAAATAGAAATGCTTAGCTTTGAAGAAGATCAATTTGACTTTTGATGCAATTCACTGACGATATTTGTTCTTATACAAAGTAACAATAGGTGCAGATGTACGACGAACCGAGACAGAAAACAGAATATGTGTATAATTTTCTGTTTGCTACCTAGATACTTGGTTATCAATCTAACAACAATGTTTGTATACTATACATTTTGTCTAGTTAAATCTGCAGTAAATCTTCTATCAAATCCTTTTCACCTCAGTCAATCCTGGGTCAAACATTTGTAGCCCCATCATAAAACCATTTTGACCTCAGTCCTACATGAAACTTGTCAACTACAGTCCAGGGCTGGAAATAACTTTAAAATTGCTAGTGTACTCCGGTACAGTGGCACAAGTAAAAATACTAAAATCACTTGCCCTGATAATTTTTCCACTATACTGGCCGAGTTTCTTGTTGATTTTTTAAATAAACAACATAATTAACATTGGAAAATCAACTGGACACCAGTACAGTGTGATAGACAAATATGCTTGCCCGACAGAAAAAACACTGGACTCGGGCGTCGGGCAATGGGTAATTTCCGCCCCTGCAGTCAATACTGCATAAAATCAATTTAACTTTAGACTATCCTGGATCAACCTTTGTAACCTGTGTACGACCTTTGTAAACTCCTGTTAATCCTGTGCAAGACCTTTGTAACCTCCAGTCAATCCTGTGTAAGACCTTAGTAACCTCCAGTCAATCCTGTGCAAGACCTTTGTAACCTCCAGTCAATCCTGTGTAAGACCTTTGTAACCTCCAGTCAATCCTGTGTAAGACCTTTGTAACCTCCAGTCAATCCTGTGTAAGACCTTAGTAACCTCCAGTCAATCCTGTGTAAGACCTTAGTAACCTCCAGTCAATCCTGTGTAAGACCTTTGTAAACTGTCAATCCTGTGTAAGACCTTTGTAAACTCCAGTCAATCCTGTGTAAGACCTTTGCAACCTCCAGTCAATCCTGTGTAAGACCCTTGTAAACTCCAGTCAATCCTGTGTAAGACCTTAGTAACCTCCAGTCAGGTCTGTATAAAACCTTTGGAGTGAGTGAGTGAGTGAGATGGGTTTTATGCTGCTTCAAGCTATATTCCAACAACATCACGGCGGGTGACACCAGAAACAGGCTTCACACATTGTACCCATGTGAGGAAACGAACCTGGGCCTTCAGCGTGATGAGCGAACGCTTTAACCACTAGGCTACCCCACCGCCCCAAATTCTTTCGAACCCCAGTCAATCCTAACAATCTTTTTAAACCTCAGTCAATCCTGCATGCAACCTTTGAAAACTTTGCCAGTCTAATTTTTCTTTTCATCTTTTAACCAACGTTATTCTCTTTAAAAAAATACTGAATCAAAGAAACAAACAAATATGCTCCATGATAGACAAACACTGATTTGAAAACGTTCTGCTTCAACCTGATGGAACACTAAGCAGTTAATTTAGATAGAGACAACATGATGGCTCGGAGATGATGGGCCACAACATATATTTCTCATTAGCGTCTCTTCCTCTTAGTTGAGGTGAGATAAGAACCTGATTGGATCTTACTTTCTCCTGCACAGAGCCATTGGAAACATGTCTGCAACCTCATACCAGCCATACGACCACAAAATTAGCCAATTGTTTAGCAGTGTCCGTGATCCCTAAGACACTGTCTTCTGTCTATGACGGAGCCACATGTTTGTACATGTCTTTAAAGGCACAATATCACACATTTTCGACAATATTTTGGCCTATATTATATATATATTGGGGCATATGCACTCACTTTAGCTTCCTATTGTTGCAATAAAAGACTTATTATCCCTTACAACTTGCCTGAAATCGATAATTGAAACTTTGAGACGAACTGATTCCAAACAGGGAACACTTTTCATACATGGAATTGACTCAATTGCTCTGTACATCGAAAACTGTCGCACATGGTGTTGTCAGTGTTTGCCAAACTAGTTTCAATCACAAGTTGTGTGTACGATATTCATAAAGAGCGCGCTCCAAGGGACATAACTCTATGGGGTTCACATGAATTAATGTTCGGTCGGTAGGAGGCACGAGAGTCGATTTAATGCAAGGTTGCATTAATTTTTTTGAACCTTTTAATTTAATATTGTTATCTAAATACATAATTTTGGGGGAATAAGTTATATGGTAGCTTCCTGAGGTCTGATAGTAAGTATGTTTTCTTTAAGAGAAGATTGTGTGACATTGTGCCTTTAACTCAAACAGTTGCACATTCAGTGTGATTTTGCACATGATCTTTGAAACTGTGCACTGAACAACCTGATAGAGAGTTCTGTGAAGATTCCCATGAATATTGATACAACAAAACTACATCACGACTTGATGCTGCACTCAGGTGGACTTCAGATTATCTTCAACACAAACTGCATATGAAAGCTGCCAGAGGCAGTGATTAATGGTTGCAGGGGGGAGGACTTTCTTTATTCATTGTCCTATTAATGACTGCAGATATACTTAGTGCATTCTAAAGTCAGGTGGGTCGTTCCATATATCTTGATTCTTGCCAAGCTAGTGATGCAGACATAGATGTAGTAATGTGGATATATGCTAGGTCATCATATTCCAGTTATATCGCAATGACCTGTTGGGGATTGTTTGTTTGGTCTTTAATGTTGCATTCAGCAATATTGCATCTATATGACGTTGGTCTGTAAATGATCGAGTTTGGACCAGACAGACCGGTGACTGACATCATGAACACTGATCTATGCAGTTAGGATATGATGACATGGGTCACCATGGGTCACCTGACAACCTGATTCCATAAGTTCTGTCAATCATGGGTTCCTGGAAAATCAGTTGTCACACAGATCCTCAAGGATCTACACAGACACACAGACACATAAATATGAGTGAGTGAGTGAGTGAGTTTAGTGTTATGCCACACTCAGCAATATTCCAGCTTTATGGTGGCAGTCTGTAAATAATTAAGTCTGAAGCAGACAATCCACTGATCAACAGCATGAGCATTGATTATGCAGTTGGGATACGATGACAGGTGTCAACCAAGTCAGTGAGCCTGACCACCTGATCCTGTTACTCGCCAGCCAGCCAGCAAGACAGACAGCCAAACTGATGATGACCCATAAATAACAGAGTCTGAACAAGGGGAATCAATGGTCGACAGCATGAACATCATGTCATGACACTGATCTTGTGACCAACAAGTCCTTCATTCAGCTGGAATGATTCACTGTGGATCTACTTTGTGCTCATTGCCCCATGTTGGGTGACGACAGATCTCAAAACACTAACCTTGCTCCATCGCCCCTTGTTCCAGTGGGGACAATGACCTCGGGCACATCGCTTGGTGTTGCGAGGCATCTTCTTGCTGCAGGTGGTGGTGGGTTGGGTGTTTCCAGCCTGGTCTACACACACCACCACCCTCTGTCTCTGGCCAGAACCACAGGTGGCAGAACACTGGAAAGTTACAATAAAACATCATAAGCGCACAGGTAATGTTACTTAGATCGTTCATGCAACAGCCAGAGAAAGGCTACAGTGCAAAGTACTATCAATTATTGTCTCTCAGCCATTGTTAATGGTACAGTTAAAGTTTTATGTAACAGACAAAGTTTGTGTTAGAGGAACAATTTATGTAACAGCCATAGTTAATGTTACAGTTTATGTAAGTCAAAGTTTATGTTGCAGTTACAGTTATGTTAACAGCCATAGTTAAAGTTTGTGTAACAGTCATAGTTTTTTTTTAAATAGATTATGATAGTTTGGTTCATGTGACAGATTTTGTATTAAATGTTTATGCTACAGGTATAGTTAATGTTAAAAGTGTAGTGTAAGTTACAACCATAGTTTATACTGCAGCCACAGTTTACATCAGGGTGCCGTTGTACAAACAACTACAGCGCTAAGACTGCCTTAAGTCCATGTTAAGGTATGGGAGTTACGGACGCCTTAGTACTAAGACTGTCTTAAGTCTATGTTAAGGTATGGAGTTCTACGGTCGCCTTAAGTCTAAGACTGTCTTAAGGTAATGGGAGTTACGGTGTATTAAAAGCTAAGACTGTCTTAAGTCTATGTTAAGGTATGGGAGTTACGGTCGCCTTAGCACTAAGACTGTCTTATGTTAAGACTGTCTTAAGTCTATGTTAAGGTATGGGAGTTACGGTCGCCTTAGCACTAAGACTGTCTTAAGTCTATGTTAAGGTATGGGAGTTACGGTCGCCTTAGCGCTAAGACTGTCTTAAGTCTATGTTAAGGTATGGGAGTTACGGTCACCTTAGTACTAAGATCGCTTTGGCACCCAGGGCCATATCAGACCATTCCTCCATGCATTATTCCTTCTCAGAAGCAATTTTAATCACATAATCCACATTTAGCCTAGCCCGTAGCACTGGGGACCTAGAATCTGCCCTTGAATCAATTATTGCCTCTGAACAAGGCACGGCTAATCACAATAAGCAAGAAACGAAGCTGAAAGTGATTAGAACATCAACACAAAACATAAAAGACATGGAACTTTAGAAATCCGAAGAATCTTCATAACAAATGGATAGTGATAACTGCGGGTAAATTTTTGGAATCAGCTAAACACCGATTCCATTAGACCAGGAATGGGGATTCTGATTAATCTCCCACTTTTTGTTTAAAGAACACCAGGTGAGAAATCTGCTCTGCATCAAGTCGATTAACACAACAAACAGACTTGAAGGGATAGCTATGAATCCTGTTCAAAACGTTCCAAAACAACATTCCAGAAAATGTAACCTACAGTGCTAATTACCAACAGAAGGCACTCTTCAGACAATAGAGATGGAAGATTCAGGACAGGGTTATGTAAACAGAAAAACAGAAAAACGTGTTGGTGTATGTTACATAGGGTGTTCCCTATTTTCTTGTATTTTGTTCAAGGTCTTTTTCTTGTTGCCTTAATTTGAATTTTTTCCATGAGTCGAATCGCTGGGGACCAAGTAATAAGTTCGACTTATCGATGTATTCGAGACATAGGTATGCCTATGAGGGTAGAAAAAAAGATGATCCAGTCCTAATTCCTCCGCCTAAGCATTTGTTTATCTAATGATTTCCATATCACTAATAGGGGCACCTTATCAGTTCCAGTCTGATTACCACAGACAGTGATTTCCGTAAAATCACTAATCTGCCTTTTGAACTCACCCGTCAATGGCGGAAAGGTGTGAGCCGCGCTGGTTTGTTAATTGGATCAGTTTGCTACACCAATCAACTTCTCATTGACTGACTTCGGCTTATGTATACAAGATTGCTGTTGTTTGAATCTCATGGGACCAAATTTCCTTCTCGAGTCATCGTGTGTATTTATGAGACGTGTTCGTGTAACCGGTATTCAAATGATGACAACTATAACAGGGAATGGTTGGGACCGACAGGTACTTCGAGTTATGCATAATATTTGAGACACCGGCATTCGACTCATCGGGATTTGACTGTAGTTTGATGGTAATGTAAGGCTAGTTCAGGTTTTATCCAGAATATCACATCTCAGTTCTATCATGATTAATAACCTTGACATATTTCTCACAATACCTTCATTTCAGAAGTTTTGTCACCATGAGTAATATGATTTTTCTTCTCCCAAATACACTCCAACATTTTACTCACATATGCCAATTATTTGACTGAACAGCCATCTTTATCATATTCATTCATTCATATCAATATATCATATTAGGGAAAGGGCTGAGGGTACTTATTAGGGCTGGGACAAGATCAAATAGAGCAGAATGGGGCCCAACCCCTCAAATACCAATTGTAGGACTCAACAGCTGGGTGCAAAATGTCCCAACCTGTAAAGATCCAGGTTAGAATTTGTCTTCAGCAACCCATGCTTGTTGTAAGAGGCAACTAATGGAATTGGGTGTCAGGCTCGCTGACTTGGTTGACACATGTCATCATATCCCAATGCATAGATCGATGCTCATGAATTTGATCACTGGATTGTCTGTCCGGACTCAGTTATATACTGTGCCATATAACTGGAATATTGCTGAGTGCTGCGTTAAACAATTAACAAACCAAAACAAAACATCGCATTGGGAATCAGAAAGTTCTGTCAAAAAGGGGTGGAGGTGCATTCTCTGCTTCATAGGAATCACACATAACCTCAAACAAGGTTTCCTTAACCATGGCCAATAAAATCGATAAGAAAAATAACTACAGTGAAATAGCCTCAAAATCTAACAAAGATGAAGAACTACAACAAAGATATACACACCCAAAACCCATCTAATTATTAAATCAGATCAGCAAACTCTCAAATACAGTCAGTGAATATGCTTCTATGCCACTTTTAACAATATTCCAGCAATGGGACGCCAGAAATGGGTTTTGAGTGGGCAAATTGTACAATGAGTGGAATGAAATGAAATTCAATGGCTTGACAAGTGAACACTTAAACCATTAGGCTATGCTACCACCCTGTCTTCACAATTAATCTATATTTATAACAGTACTAAAATATGAATTTGATAAATTATTCAAATTATCAAAACAACCCTTACCTTTTAGAAAATATTACATCATATCTTGAATTGATTATCAATCCAGAAAACCACCCAGATGAAAAAACAACCTTTTTAACATATGATATTATTATTATTATAGGATATTTATATAGCACACATATCCGGGCAACTAGTGCTTGCTCAAGGCGCTGGTATTTTTCCCCTCTATCATTGGATGGCAATCTCAATGGCACATCATATTATCAATCTCAACTCCCTGGGGAGTATACAACTCTTGCAGCCACTAGGCGCACCGAGTTATTGTGGCTTTCTCATCCGAACATCCATCAATATTCTTACTTTCTTACTGAAATATAACCTTGAAATGAGCAACTCTATTGAGCGAGCTATCCAATGGTGAGAAAACCCCACTTGTCATCATTCATAATCATGGAGGCGAGATACAAGCGGCAGCATCCTCGTTAATTGTGTTTTATCACACGATGAAAGCCTCAGATAATCACTAAACTCCATCGAACGCTGATAACCTGCGAACCCAGGTGCCCTTTTCATCAGAGGTAAATGGCCTTCCCCCCACATGATATATAAATATTCTGACAATTATATACACATTTTTCACAATTTATGATGAGACGGGGCAAACCACACACGTTTTAATATCCATTATTCAGGTTCATAACCCAACATGACCTTGTAGCATGACCTTGACATACTTACTTGTAAAGGTCATGATGTATTTATGTATGATTAATGTACGCAATAAACAAAATATGACAAAGATAAGCTGAAGTATTTAAAGCTTACTGCAGTCATTTTCAATTGCTTCATAATTTACAACTGGCACCTCCCCTTTAACAGCAACATAAACAAAATTTGGTGAGCATCTAAAAAATTAGGAGTGCCTATAGGTAACTGTACATATGTTCTGACCTTCGACCTTATAAACATATGATAGACACTATGACAGATTGAGGGAGAGTGTCATAGATAAAAAGTGCAATTTGTTGATTGTAATGATACCAATGAAAATAAATAGACATGTTCTATCAGTGATATGAATTGGTATCACACTGTAAACATAAATGGATCTTACTTCAACAGTGATGGAATCTGTTAACCTTTCATCATGGAAGAGGATGTTGTAGTGATGGAAACAAAAATGGCAATTTCTAGACGCCATGGTTATCAGCCCAACAATTAGTCATTTCTTACTCTGTACCATAGATGATAGTCTGTCTCACAGTCCCTCAACCACATTATTTTCCCTACTGCCTGTCCCTTCTTGCAATGCTAAATCCCAAACGAAGTAAGTCTAGATTTCCTCAGGTTCAGGAACCTGAGGTAGACTAATTCTTAGTCTCTGAATATATATAAATTTCATAGAAAGAAATTATCAAATAATATTTCCAAATATCCAAAAGTACCAAATTTCATTTCAAGTGAGTGAGTGAGTATGGTTTTATGCCGCCAATATTCCTGCAATATCACGTGGTGTTCTGATGATCGAAAATAATCGAAAATTGATCAAAAGAAGGATTAGAAATGATTATTGATTGTAAAAAACATATCTTCGATGAATCGGAATTGTGTTGTTTTAGTATAACACACATGGAATGAAGTAAACTAACCATTAAATTTGACAAATATTCACGAACAAACGTGCGCTCAACAGTGTAAAGCAATTGGCATTGTAAAATTTTAACCACTTTTATTATTCAATTACAAATCCAGTGTCTTTCTTGCATTTCATTGCATGACAGTATTCGTTATAAAAAAACATTAATTAGAAAAAAACCTGGGGAAAAACCCTTAAAATTGGTGATTACATTAAAAACGTATATATTTTGATTATAATCGATAATCGTTCATCACAAGTCCTCTGATAATCGATAGTGGATTTGGTTTCCGATTTCAAACACTAATATCACGGCAGGGGACACCAGAAAAGGGCATGTAACTATG